TAATCCCAGCACTTTAACAGGCTGAGGCCAGCAGATCACCTGAGGTCTGGAGTTGGAGACCACCCTGGACAATATGGCAAAATCCCATCATTACTAAAAATCTGAAAAAATTAGCCAGGCATGGTGCTGGGCACCTGTAATCCCACTACTTGCTAGGCTGAGGCAGATGAATTGCTTGAACCTGGGAGGCAGAGCCTGCAGTGAGCCGAGATCTAGCCTGGGCAAAAAGAGTGAAACTCTGTCTCCAAAAAAAAAAAAAAAAAGTTGGGGGGGAGCAGGCAGGTGGTGGCTCACTCCTGTAATCTCAGCACTTCGGGAGGTCGAGGCGGGCAGATCACCTGACGTCAGGAGTTGGAGACCACCACCCTGGCCAACATCAGGAAGCCCCGTTTGTACTAAAAATTCAAAAATAGCCAGGCTTTGGGGCAGGTGCCGGTATACTTAGCTATTCAGGAGGCTGAGGCAGGAGAACCACTTGAACCTGGCAGGCCAGTGGTTGCAGTGAGCCGAGATCGAGCCACTGCACTCTAGCCTAGGAGACAGAAAGTGACTTCGTTTCAAACAACGTAAATAAATAAGTAAAGATTTTAAAAAGGTTCCGAGCGCAGTGGCTCACGTCTGTAATCCCAGCACTTTGGGAGGCTGAGCAGGGCAGGTCACCTGAGGTTGGGACTTTGAGACCACCCTGAGCAACATAGAAAAACCCCATCTCTACTAAAAATACAAAATTGGCTGGGTGTGGTGGCGCATGCCTGTAATCCCAGCTGCTCAGGAGTCTGAGGCAAGAGAATCACTTGAACCCAGGAGAAGAGGTTGCGGTGAGCTGAGATCATGCCATTGCACTCCAGCCTGGGCAACAACAGCGAAACTCCCTCTCAAAAAAAAAAAAAAGAAAAAAGAAAAAACCGTTTGCCACCTGTGTTGGCTCAGTGCTGTAATGTCAGAACTTTGGGAGGCCAAGGTGGGTGGAACGCTTGAGCTCAGGAGTTCCAGACGAGCTCGGGAAACACGAGGAGACTCCATCTCTATGAAAATGCAAAATATCAGCAGGGCATGGTGGCATGGCGCTCTAGTGCCAGCTACTTGACAGTCTGAGGTTGGAGAGTTGCTTGAGCCTGGGAGGTCAAGGTTGCAGTGAGCTATTATCACTCCAGTGCACTCCAACCTGGGCGACAGGAAAAAAGAAAGACCAAGATCTTTTTTTCTTTTCTTTCTTTTTTTTTTTCTGAGACTCTCTGTCTCAATAAATAAATAAATAATAAAATAAAATAAAGTAAAATATTGTCACAACAAAAAGAAAAAGCAAAGGTCCAGGTGTGGGGCATGTGAATCCAGGGAAGGAGGCCCCGGCTCAGCCCAGCTTTGGTCCTGTTCTTCTGGGAAAGTCGCCTCACTTCCTCCAGCCTTGTCTCATCTTCCGCGGCGGGGCGGACTGTCTGCCTCTTGCTCTGATGACCAAGAACATGAGACTCTTCAGTGTAGATCTAAGAAAGGTAGAGGGTGGGTCCTCACGGGCCCACAAAATTTGGTGGTGGTGGGAACATGCCTGGCGGAGCATGCCTTGCTCCAGATCAGGGTGTGACGCATTGATGCAGATTATATTACTTTAGAATATGATGGTCTCAGGGACCAGGCAGGGTTTTGGCTTCTGAGGAGGGTTCAGACCCCAGCTTGATCCTACCTGTGCCGTGAGATGTCAAGCAGGTCAGCCTCTAAGCCTCAGGTTCGTCCTTTGCCAAACCAAGAGATGAGCTGGCCTGTGGCGGGCTGTGTGGTGATGGTGCTGGGGTCGAGTCTTCTGTCCCCGCAGGTGGTCTATGTTGCCCGCAACGCAAAGGACGTGGCGGTCTCCTACTACCACTTCTACCACCATGGCCAGGTGCTACCCTGAGCCTGGGACCTGGGACAGCTTCCTGGAAAGTTCATGGCCGGGAGAAGGTGGTTTGGACGGGAGGAAAGGAGGGGGTGTAGGCCGACCAGGTGCTGGCTACAACGCACAGTTAACCCTGTGTCGCTGCCCCCTGCCCGGCTTCTCCAGTGTCCTACGGGTCCTGGTACCGAGCACGTTCAGGAGTGGTGGGAGCTGAGCCACACCCACCCTGTTCTCTACCTCTTCTATGAAGACATGAAGGGAGGTGAGACCACCTGTGATGCTTCCCCATGTGACACCTGGGGCAGGCACCTCACAGGACCCATCAAGGCTGCCCCAGCCCCTTTCCTGAGGTGGGCCCCCATAGTAGGCCCAGAATTCCGCATCCTGCCTCCCTGGCCCAGGGCCTCCCCGGTACAGCGCCCACCTGGCAGCGGGACCCACACAGACGTTCATCTCGCCGCAAGGCTGAGTCAGCTCGCGATGGGGGGGCACGGATTAGATACTTAGTTCATATGATTATCCCCACCAAAGGGATGTGCCACCGCAGGGCCCCCAGTCACGGGAAAGGACCATCCCGGTCCTCCACCCACTGGAGCCCGTTCCAGCTTCATGATGCGATCACAGGGCAGAGAGCAACTTCATTTTATCCAGGGACCGGGGGCCCCGGGGGTCGAGGAGCTGGCTTCTGTGGGTTTTTCTGAGTGGAAGTGGCCAGTTCCCCTCTGAGGGTTAGAGAAGGGGGACCCCCTTTTATTTTCGTGACATCAGCAAACCTGGCCTCCACTGAGGGCCTCTGCTGGCTCAGAACCCAAAAGGTAGATTTCGGGAAGATCCTGGATGTTTGTGGGGCGCTCCTGGCCAGAGGACGGACGTGGACCTCATGGTATCAGCACACGTCATTAAGGAGATGAAAGAAGAAAGTCTAGGACCAACTACACCACCGGTCCCCCAGTGAGTTCATGGAGCACAGCATCTCCCCTTCATGACGAAAGGTGTTTTGGCCGCCCAGCGACGGGGCTTTGGCGGGTGGGGCAGGCGGCTGGAGCCTCCCCCATAGGCCTCGGGGCCTGCCGCTGGCTATGAGACTCCAGCTTTGCTCCCCTGCCTTCCTCCTCCAGGAATGACTGCGGGACTGGAAGACCCCACTTCACCGTGGCGCCAGAGATGACGTGCTTCGATTGCGGGACTATGCGAGAGAAGAATGGCAGGCTGCAGCCTCAGCTTCCGGCTCTGAGCTTTGTAGAGTGGGCCCTGGGGGTCCACTGCAGAGGAGTATGCTGAATCAAGCCCTGACCAAGCGGCTCAAGAATCAAATATGAATTGAGGGCCAGGGAGGTAGTTAGTCTTGTAATCCCAGCAATTTGGGAGGTTGAGTGTGGGGGATCATTGAGAACCAGGAGGTTCAAGACCAACCTGGGCAACATAGTGAGATTCTGTTAGAAAAATTAATTAATAATAATAACAAATAAAATCAATTTTTTTTTTTTGAGACAGAGTCTCGTTCTGTGCCCAGGCTTGGAGTGCAGTGGGCGCGGATTCTCAGCTCTACTGCAAGCTCTGGGCCTCCCGGGCCCCGCCATTTCTCCTGCCTCAGCCTCCTGAAGTAGCTGGCGACCACAGGCGCCCGCCCCACGCCTGGCTTAATTTTTGTTATTTTATAGAGACGGGGTTTTCACCGTTGTTGCAGGGTGGTCATCGATCTCCTGACCTTGTGATCTGCCCACCTCGCCTCCCAACGTGCTGGGATTACAGGTGTTGAGCCACCGTGCCCAGCCAATAAAATCAGCTTTTAAAAAGAGAATAAAATATGATTTGTGAGCCAGGCAGGGTGGCTCATGCCTGTAATCCCAGTCATTTGGGAAGTTGAGACCAGAGGATCACTGGAGGAGAGGAGTTTGGGACCAGCCTGGTCAATGTTACAAGATGCCGTCCCTACAAAAATTTGAGAAAATGATCTGCACGTGGTGGTGGGCACCTGTAGTCCCAGCTACTTGGCAAGTGAAGGCAGGAGGATCACCGGAGCCAGGAAGGTTATGGCTGCAGTTGGCTGTGACTGTGGTAATCCACTCAAGCCTGAGGGACAGAGTGAACCCTGCCTGAGAAATAAACAATTTAATGAAAATAAATTTGATTTGTTACTAGCCTGGCCAACATGGCGAAACCCCAACTCTACTGAAAGAAAACAAACAAATATCGCAAGAACAGAAAACCAAATACCGCATGTTCTCACTCATAGGTGGGAATTGAACAATGAGATCACTTGGACACAGGAAGGGGATCATCACACACCGGGTCCTATTGTGGGGAGGGGCTCGGGGGAGGGATAGGATTAGGAGATATACCTAATGTAAATGATGAGTTAATGGGTGCAGCACACCAACATGGCACATGTATACATATGTAACTAACCTGCACGTTGTGTACATGTACCCTAGAACCTAAAGTATAATAAAAAAAAAATGGGAAAAAAAAAGAAAACAAACAAACAAAAACACATAAATTAGCGGGGCGTAGTGGTGGGCGCCTGTAATCCCAGCTACTCCGGAGGCTTAGGCAGGAGAATCGCTTGAACCAGTGTGGGAGAGGGCAGAGGTTGCAGTGAGCCAAGATCACCCCACTTCACTCCAGCCTGGCCATAAGAGTGAAACTCCATCTCAAAAAAATAATATTAATGAATAAAATAAAATAAATTATGATTTGGGCTGGGCTCAGTGGCTTATGCCTCTAATCCCAGCACTTCAGCCTGGTGGATCATTTGAGGTCAGGAGTTGGAGACCAGCCTGGCCAACATGGCGAAACCCCATCTCTACTAAAAATACGAAATTAACTGGGAGTGTTGGCGCGCACTTGTAATCCCAGTTACTCGGGAGGCTGAGGCAAGAGAATTGTGGTGAACCGAGATCGCGCCACTGCCCACCAGCCTGGGTGACAGAGCAAGACTCTGTCTTGAAAAATAAATAAATAAACAAAATAAAATAATTTAAACAGGAGACACACAGCAAAAGAAGTGCAGCATAAAGTAACTTATTGCAAAAGAAAAACTGTATTTTGAAAGTTAAGTGCATAGTAGACAATACACCTTGAGCGAGTTCAGAACGGGCTGCTCATCAGGGTGGGTCAGTGTTAATTACTGCAGGGAAACTCCCCTTATGGGAATCTCACACAATTTTTCATAATGGGTGGGAAGAGGCATCACTAGTAAGCATGATCTGGGTGGTCCTCTGGGTGCACATGGGCATTTGCTATACATGCCTGTTTCCAGGACACATGTGTCATTAGCATTTTAAATCTCCACCCAGGGGTGTGGTTTTTACTATTAAAATGAGCAAAGGGTCAGTTTGAGGACAGGTAAAATCAAAATGCACACGTTCTCAAAAGGGAAAGTCCCTACTGGAGATAGCTTTGCTTGAGCTCAGTGACCGGGCGAATGCTGAGGCTTACTGTGTTGGCCATGCGGTCACCAAGGTCGCAGCATCCTGAGAAGGTGGTTGTCTTCTTGACTACCTCTCCTGCCTCACCTGGGCTCCATGCCCTGCCTTGGTCTAAACAAGGACCTCCTGCATATCTGATCAGCCTGCTCCTGACATCATCCATGGCCTGTCGCATGGAGGCTGCTTTACTCACTGTGGGGGCACGTGGGTCAGGGCGTGGTAGAAGCAGGTGGTCTGGGGATACAGGGCTAGCGTGAGCTGTCCTTCTGGAATAAGGCCTCAGGGTCTGTCTCGGGGTTGGCCTTCCACTGGGGCAGCGGGATGATCCAGCGTCAGCTCAGGGTGTGTCTCCTGGCTGTAGAGGGACTTGTGTCAACCTGTGGCTGGCTGGGGATGCTCCTTCCCAGCTGTTAGGCTGCCCCCAGTCTCCATGTCCGGCCCTGGCCTGGACACTCACTCTTTGCCTTCTTCATCGATGTCATCTACCTCATACCTGTGGACAAAAGGAGGAAAACACTGGGTGTAGCCAGGGGTGCAGTCCCTGTCAAGGAGCGTGGAGGACCAGGGCAGAACAAGGACCTAGTGCTCCCTGCACAGCTGGCCCTGCCCACATCACCCTCTGTGGAGCTTTTCTCTAGCTGTGCAGACAGGGAGTAGAGCAGCAGCCCAGGCAGATGCAGTGACCAGAGAGTAGCCCCGGGGCTGGTGTCACTCACTTGTTGGTGGCATGGCTGTAACTGACCACCTCGGCCAGGATCCACTGCTCATCCCCATCCACGGCCTTCACCCGGGCAGCCACCTTGTCTCCAGGTCTGGCCACGTAGTCCCCTGAGGCGGGGATGGCCCCACAGAGGGGTGGGGGCCTGTGAGCAGAACAAAGGGTCAGTCCCAGCCCCTGGGCACCAGCCCCTCCCTCGCAGCTGCTGCCCTCACTTGTCACCAGGCTTCCCGATCCACAGGGGCAGGGTCATGGCCGACTGCTGCAGCAGGGTCATCAGCACCCCTCTGCGCATGGTCTTCCGGGGTGGCTCCGAGTCATTGTAGAGACCTGCGATCTTGGCCAATGTGGGAAGGAAGGGAGGCCTGAGGCCTCAGGGCAGGTGCTGGCCCTGACCCCCCAGCATGCTGCACTGAGTTGTGGGAAGGAGCCCCTGGGAGTCCCTAGTTCCCGAGTGAGCCTGAGGGCCCAGCAGGACTGTGACTCGATCGGCCAGGTGTCCTACACAGCTGCTGTGCTGAACTACAGATGGGTGAGACGGCAGCACAGTGGGCACCCAGAGGGAGGAACCAGGGAGGGACAAAGCAGGTTCTGAGGTGCTGGTCAGGTTCTCTTCCTCATGTCAGTGCTGACCCAGAAGTGTATTTAATGAGAATTTCCTGAAATGGGAAGAATCCCGCGGGGTCGCGGAGAGGCGGAGGGGCTTCTTCCGGGTCTACCTGCTCTACTGCCTGAACCCTGGTCACCAGGGCCGCGTCTACATGGGGTTCACTGTCAGCCCTGCTTCTCGGGTCCAGTAGCACAATGGGGGCCGCACAAAAGACAAGGCCCAGGCCGGGCGCAGTCGCTCACACCTGTAATCTTAGCACTTTGGGAAGCCAAAGCTGTCGGATCACTTGAGGTCAGCTGTGCTTCGAGAACAGCCTGGCCAACATGGTGAAACCCCGTTTCTGAAAAAAATACAAACATTAGCCGGGCATGGTGGCACGAACCTGTAATTCCAGCTACTTGGGAGACTGAGACAGGAGAATCGCTAGAGCCCGGGGGTCGGGACGTTGGTTGCAGGAAGCTGAATCGCGCCATTGCACGCCTGGTGAGACCTGGAGGGTCTCCGAGGCCGGAAGGCGGCTTCCTGGAGAAGGCGGACCCCGCGAGGCACAGGCCTGATGAGAGGGACCCTCCAGGCCTGTGACAAGGGTGGGGCGTCTGGGGAGGGGAGGAGGCCTGTTGCAGAGGAGGAGTGTGACAGGGAGCCCTGGGAATCTCGGCGGTGGAACTCCGGGAAGGAGCGGGCTGGGGCGGGGTGATGATACAGGCTGGAGTCCAGCATAGGGGTCTTGGTGGGCACGCTGGGGTCCGATGGCGCGCAGGAGGGAGAGGAGTGGGGACAGGTGGGTACCTGGGTTGGAGGAGGGGCTTGAGGTGGGCAAGTGCAGGGGGCGCGACTTCAGGCAGGGGCGGGGCCTGGGGCTCTGCTGAGGCGGGGAATGAGGACCTCACTTTCGGGTGGGATTGGAGGGGACCCGCGGTGGAGAGCGGCGGGACTCCCAGGGACATTCCCGTTCTCCTCCCCAGGGAGATAGCGCTCATAGTGCACAGCTTCCTGTCCGCCGTGGCAGCCCTTCGGCGGGTAAGGAAGGAGAGCCGGCAGCCGCTAGTGGTCGGGGTTTGGGGTGCGATCCCTGCCAGGAGCTACCCTGATGCCCCCATACCCTGCCGCGGTTGGAGTGGGCCTGGCACCCCCGCCCTGGGCGCGCCTCCCGTTCCTGCTGCACCCCTACCTCCGCCCGACGCACCGTACTGGCCACTGGCCTTCGGGCCTCCTCTGTCCCAGGGAGCCGCGCAGGTCCCTTTGCTGACGACCAGCCTGAGACTAAGCCGGACCTTGGAACCTAGAGGCCTGTGCGCCCTGAGCTCCCGCGTGCTCCGGGGGAGGTCCGCCCCAGGCACGGAGGCTCCATCGATGATCGACCGTCCAGACAACTTCGATGCTCGACCATCCAGACAACTTCGGATCCAGCTGTTTGTTGAGGAACCAGGAAACGCCCTGACAATTTTGCGACCCTGTCCCCATCTCTAAGATGGGGATGATAGTACTTCTGGCCATTCCTGAGCACAGCAGGACCTGCCTTTTCCTTTTGACTGGAAGGTTCTTCTCTACACCTTCTGTCTTGATAACCTGCCACCTGAACAGGGAGGTCTTCCCTGGCTCCCGATTTAAAATTGCAGCTCTGATAAGCCGGGCATGGTGGCATATGCCTGTAGTCCCAGCTACGGGGGAGACTGAGGTGGGAGGATCGCTTGAGCCCAGGAGTTGGAGGCTGCAGTGAGCTATGATCGCTCCACTGCACTACAGCCCGGGCAAAAGAGCAACACCGTCTCTAAAAATATAAAATAAAATTGCATCTCTTGAGTACTTCCCCATCCGCTCCTTTTCCTGAATACTTATTATCTGACTTGCTAGGTGTTTTATTGCTCTCGTTAGTCATTATCTGACCTGCTAGGTGTTTTATTGCTCTCTTTAGTCTCTCCCACCCCAACCTTTGCACTAAACTGCCCGAGGACAGCTCTTGTCACTGCTGTAGAACAAAGTTCAGCACAGAGACGACGGCCAAGAAATAGTCAATAAAATAAATGGACGATGGGCGCCTTCTACTGAGCTCCTGCTAATTGTGAGTGAGTAGAGGACTTGCCCTGGGGAAATTCAGTGACCTGCTGGGTGTTGCTGAGCTGTGAGGAAGTTCAGGTCTGGCTGCAGTGGTGAGGCTGTGACTCAATCAATCGCTGCTGATGCTCACAGGACGTTCACTAGCTTAGTCCTAGGGGGCAAGGATTTTAAACCCCCACGTCCATTTCCTCATCCATAAGATGCAAATAACAGTCACCCCTTCCTCACGGGATGGAGCTGTGTGATGCCCGGAACAGTGCCTGCTGCACGGAGGGGCTTGCCGCCAGCTCCCTCTCCCTCTTTGTCTCTTACCTGCCTGCTGCCTGGGATGGGATGAAGATGGGCCCTTGTGTTGCCCCAACCCTGGCTGCTGGCTAAGAGCCCATGTGATCTGCCTGTCAGAGGAGTTCCTTCAGGAAGAACCAGGGCAGCTTCTGCTCCTAGAGGGCCAATGCCCTAGGTGAGTGCAGTCCCCTAGCCCCAGCCTGGTCCAGCTCTGGGAAGAGGGTGCGCAGTTGTGCAATCCAGGCCGGGGCAGCCGAGTCCTGATCTTGGTATTCAGGGCTGAGCCTGGAGGGGGCTTGTGATGCCTGACTCTGTATCTCTCTCGGCCCCATGCCTTTTTAGCTATGAGATGTCACTGCTTTGGGTGACCTGATCTGGCTGTGCCGGATGGGCACGAAGGAAATAGAAGACTCAGAATTAGAAGACGTGAGTGGGCTTTGGCCCCGGCCTCCTACCCAACTCCCTGCCCTGGGCTGCCTGTGACCAACCTTCTTGCCTCTGCAGGCACACCGGACAGCCCTGCTGGAGACCTGATCCTCAGTGTCCCTAACCCCCTCCAGATACTGGTGGCCTAGGCGAGGTCCTCAAAGACCGGTGGGATATCGACCTCGATCAGTCTTCAGGCTGTTGACACCTTAGCCAGAAGGAATTTCAGGACAAGTCAGAAAGTCATGAATGTAGGGAGATTTCTTGCACAGCAAAAGGACTCACTCAAGAAGGGGAATGTGGGGGTCCTCGAGAGAGTGTCTCATGCCCTACGAGGTTTGGGACTGACCTTTATGGGCTTCTTTAACTAAAGAGGGGTATATTCATGAAGATTCCAGGAAAAGGTAAAGATTTCTCAAGACTGTGGTGCCGCAATTTACACCCAAATCCAGGTGTTCCTGGAGTCGTCTTGGCACTGGCGGGTGTATGGTTTCGTATGTTACTGATCGTACAATGAGATCCTAGGTGAAACCCACATCAAATACGGCGCCATGTTGTGTCTGGTTGGTCATGGCCAGCTTGGTCCTCATCCTATTTTTCAGGGACTTATTGGCCCTTAGCATATGCAGCTATTTCAAGTTTCCTTCTTCTGGTCATGTGAAACTGCTGCCTGGGATTTTCGATTCACTTGCTACCACTCTATTAATCTCATATTCTTGCCTCTTTTCTGTGCCACCCCGTGTGGGTCCGACCCGTTGTTACTGGAGTGCAACGCAAAGTCTGAGTCAAGGGGGCCTCCTGAAGGTTGCTGGGGCAGGGGCAGAGCTAGTAGCCGGAGGACCTGCCAGTCACGGGGATTCCTCAAGGGCACAGAGGAGGGAAGAGGGGCCTGTGGCCCTAGCAGGGGAGCAGCCTCTCCTCTGCCTGGAAGCCCCATGCCCCAGCTTTCCCCACTTGCCTCTGAGCTCACGCAGCTCTTGGAAGGCTTGGGAGACTCACCTTTACTCAGATGGTTGGTTACCTGTCTCGCACCCAGCTTGACCTTGGACTTTAAATAGTGAGGACAAAGAACAAGGAGGATGGGGGGATGCCCTCCTTCCACAGGGCCCTGTGGCTTCCAAGCCTCAGCTTCCTCTGGCCTCTGTCTGTGGAGCCTCCTTCAAACCCAGGGAAAGAAAGGTACCTGCCAGGGTTCATCTAGGATCCTCTACTGATGGCTCGTGGCTGAGGTCCCCGGGAGCCCATGAAGCTGGGGCTGGCTCCAGGGCAAGGACTGCATTGGCCCTTGCTTCTTGTGCTTGTTGCTATGGGCATCCCAACTCTGGCCCGGGTCCGCGCCTCCTGGGGCCCTGTCACTCTGCCCCGACACACATACTCCAGACGGCCTTGTGGTCAGAGCTTGGAGGCCAATGGCGATGCTTGGGGCCTGGTGGGCTGCCACTGCGGCAGAACCCCTGCGCGCCTTCAAGGACTGCCTGGCAGCCGCGCAAGGGCCTTAGGGAACCTTTCCTGCGTCCACGCGTGATCCCATCCTTTCTTGTCCAGGATCCGCTCGCTGCTCTGCTGTGCCTGGGGTGCAATTAGAAAGAAAGCTTGTCTGGTTGGCCTGCTTGGCAGGGCAGGTCAGCTGATGCCCCGTGACAGCTAAAAAGAAAAACAAAACGAAACCATTTGCGGCCCTTTCCCCTTCTCATTCTGTCTGTTTTCTAGCAACACCAAACCCGTGTCTTGGCTTTGGAAAGGGCTCACTCTAAGCTTGTCTCCAGGCTGGGCGATACTAAGGGAGGTAACGGGAGAAGTCCTCCACCCCCAACCCCACCCCTTCCTTCCGGAAGCTAGTCTTAAGTCCGTGCCCATAAGCCTCCAGATTACCACACTGGACCTACGGAAACCCTCAGGCAACAAGACACACCCCTGGCATTCCCACATTTCCACCCACACTCAGCCCCACTAAGGCGGCCGTCACAGAGCCGCGCCGAGCAGGCACGTACGTGCACATGCATGTCTGTGCACCCCCCCTTCAGCGTACCGTGGCCAGTGGCGGGCGACCGAGCGCAGACATATCGAGCTCTCTGAGGGTTAAACAAAGAATATAGAAAAACCAGACATCGACCAAGCTCTGCTGCGCGCGAACGCACCAATCAGCACGCCAACAGCCAGAACAGGCGGCCATTCTACAGTGCGCGCGGAAGCCTACGCCTGTGCTCAGCTTGCGCGTTCTCTGTATCTATACCGAGGAGAAGCCGAGGCGAGTCCTCGCCCCTTCTACATCCACACCTAATGAGCTCACCCGAGAGAGTGGCAAGGGCTGGGGCTGAAACTATCCGCCAGTGTCTCTTCCTATATGACATAGACCGGTCGCGTCAGCGTCTCTGTCTCTATCCCACTGCAGAGCTCGCTCTCCTTCGCGATGTCCGTGTGTCTCTCTATATTATCTCATATGATAGGCTCTTTCTCGTGTGTGTGGTTTGTCCCTGTGTGAGACGACAGCAGTGGTCTGCTCTCCAGGAGTACACCAGCGGCT